ACCCGTTTTGCTCGAGGTGAGCACAGGCCAGGTGCAGCCTTGGGTGCAGGTGATGCAGTCGCCCAAGCCCTTCCCGCGGCCGCTGACGCCTGGGTGCTGCTCCCAGGACTTCGGCCCAGCCTGGGCCGCCGTGCAGCAAGCCGTGCCGCACGCCCCCACCGTCGACGACGCGTGGCAAGCCGTCATCAGTGTCGCTGAGGACGAGCTGATCGACCGCTGCGGCCCCAGCGAGCACGGTGACCAGTACAGGGGGCGAGCGGCCCCTCCCGTGCTCCGCTGGGTCCGCGCCAGCGTGCCCAAGATGCCGCGTTACCCCAGGCTGGACATCCAGACGTGCTGGATCAAGCAGTGGGCCATGGTCGCCAATAACGCCTCCTCCCTGGACGTCATCGGTGCCCATGGGCGTGGTCGGCAGCAGATCAACCGTCTGCGGCGCGCCTGGTACCGCTACGTCCAGCACGCCGATGGAGGCCAGCAGCAGAGCCGTCTCGGCAACGCGCTGGCCCTCCGGTGCAGCGCCTTCGACTACTTGCCGTGCGCCGCACTCCGCGCCATCGCGATCAGGCGGGCCAAGTCCAAGTTCGGCGACTGGATCGAGCAGCAGGCCATGCTTGGAGGCGGCGCGCTGCACGCCTTCACCAAGGAGCCCATGCAGCGGTATCCTAGCCCCACCTGCGCCGACGGCGGCAGCGGGGCAGAGGGCAACCCTGTCCTGACGCCTGCGGACCAGATGCAGGCGGTGCAGCTCCTCGTCGAGGGGTGGTCGCGCTACTGGAACATCGGCAGCACGACGGCAGATCTGGTTTGGCCAGATGGAGGCCTCGGCGCCAGGCCGCCGCGCCCCACCGTCGCGGAGTTGCGCAAGGTCTCCGCGTCCTTCTCGCAGACCACGGGCACGTCCTCCGACACCTTCAACCCGCGCCACTTCGACGCCCTCGGCGACGACGGCGTGGAGGCCATCGCGGCCCTCCTGGAGCGGGTCGAGCTCGAGTGCTGCTGGCCCAGCTTCATCGCCAAGCTGGTCTTCATCGCCAAGCGGGAGGGCGGCGTCAGGCCGATCGCCCTCCTCGCGGCTCTCGTGCGCGTGCACGGGCGCCTCCGCCGCGGCCTCGCCCGTGATTGGGAGGCCGCCCACCCGCGGGCCTTCTGGTGGGCCACGGCAGGCAAGTCCTGCGAGCGAGCTGTGTGGCAGCAGCTTGTATGGAGCGAGTGGCTGAAGGCCAAGCGCGACGAGCAGCCCGACCTGGACTGGCACTCTGCCGCCGCGGTGCTCGACCTCTGGAAGGCGTTCGAGCAGATCGGGCACCAGCACCTCATCAACTCGGCGGCCGAGCACGACTTCCCTCTCTGGGTCGTCAAGCTCCAGATTTCTCTTTATCGGGCTCCGCGGGCCCTCGAGCTCCGCGGAGCCGTCTCGGACCTCATCGAGGCGAACCAGACGGTCCTGGCGGGCGACATGTGGGCCACCACGTTCATGAAGCTGGTCCTGCTCACGCCGCTCGACCGCGCGGTCCGCGCGTCGCCGAGCATCGCGCCGTCGGTCGTCGTCGACGACCTCGTCTTCCAGCGAGTCGGAGGCGGCAAGCGGGTGGCCGACTCCATCGTGGCCAGCGTCACCAGCGTGGTCAAGGAGCTGCGCAAGGTGGACATCTTCGTGGCTACCAAGAAGTCGGTGCTCCTCGCCGACTCGCCGCAGCTGGCCAAGGACCTCGAGAGCAGGCTGGCCGCGTCTACCAAGGCGCGCGCGGCTCGCGGAGCTCGCAACCTGGGCGCGGACTTCGTCGTCGGCGCCAAGATGTCCAGGAGCGTGCGCAAAGGGCGGCCCCAGCAGGCCTCGCGGCATGTGCCGAGGCTTCGTCGCCTCCTCGGCCCCGCGCGCCGCCGCAGGATCGCAGCCCGGGTGGCGAAGCAGGGGCTGGAGGCCAGCTACGCCTACGGGGTCTGCTGCACGGGCTTGAGCGACGCTGAGCTCCAGCAGGCCAGAACCATGGCCGTGAAGGCCGTTGAGCTGCGGCCTGCGGGCAAGAGCGCCACCGCGGTCTTGGCCCTCGTCGGAGCCGACTACGACCCCGTCGTCAAGGCCACGCTCGACACCATCAGCACGCTGCACCGCGCCGTCTGGGAGCAGTGGCTGCCCAGGAAGGCGCTGGAGACGGCCTTTGCGGCTGCTGTCCGCCATGTCGGCCAGTGGAGTCAGGCCCGCGGGCCCATCTCCGCAGCCGTCCTCTCCCTGCGGCGCGTCGGCTGGCAGTGCGAGCAGCTGGACAAGTGGACCTCCGACGCGGGCGACGTTCACTGCATCGGCGACACCAGCCCGTGGCTGACCAAGAAGCTTCTTCGGCGCAGCTGCGAGGATTGGCAGGCCCGCCAGCTGAGCGAGCACGACGCCCCGCGGCTGGCCGTCGGCATCAACTTCGGGCAGCTGCGGAAGTGGGTCGATCGAGGACGGCCCTCCTCGAAGGCTGGCAAGAGCTGGCCCACCGCCACCAACGAGGAGCGCGGCTACCTGAGGTCGTGCATCGTGAACGGCCAGTGGACCAACGTCAGGAAGTTCGGCAACAACCCGAGGTATGCCTCCTCGGACTTCTGCGAGCTCTGCCCAGGGCAGCGGGGCGACCTCCGGCACAGGCATCTGGAGTGCCAGTCACTCGTCTACCTGATGGAGGCGACCTGCCGCGGGAGATGGCGCTCCTGATGGCGCAGCGCGACAACCAGGTGATCAGGCTCCTCGTCGAGAGGCTGCTCTTCCCGATCCCTTGGCTGCAGTGGCGGCCCCCAGCAGGCGGCTTCCTGGACCATCTGCGTTGGTGCTGCGGCGAGCCAGGCGAGCCCTTCTGCGGCCAGCCTCTGCACTGCGACGGCGCCCTGCACGGCGCCGCACTTGCTGGCGGGCGGGGCGCCCAAGGCGCGGCGGCGGTGGTCGAGCTGCCGCCCGTCAGCGACAGCACCGACCCAGGTCCTGGCAGCAGGACCAAGGCGCTCGGGTCGCCGCTCGTCGGCCCGTGGCAGAGCATCGATGGCTCGGAGCTGCTGTCGGTGCTCATCGTGCTGCGGCATTCCATCCCGCCCATCGTCCTGCACTGCGACGCTAGCTACGTGGTGGACGGCGTCAACCTCCGTGGTGCCGAGCGCACCACCCTCGCGTCCTCCGCGTGGGGGCACCTGTGGCGGCTGGTGTGGGCGGCCCTCGACGACTTCGGCGGCCTCTCGGACCACGGCCTCACGGTGGTCAAGGCGCCTGGCCATGCGACCCATCGCCAAGTTCGGGAGGGCGCCATCACGCGCAAGCAGAGGCGCGGCAACTCCGAGGCGGACCACGTGGCAGGTGGCATCGCCGCGGCGCTTGGGCCCCCTTTCGCGACGAGGTTGAGGTGCAAGCAGGCTGCCGTCATGGTGGGCGGGGTCGCGCGCTGGTTGGCCAAGGCCGGCACGCCAGCGGGCGCCGCCAGGGACGACAGCGCCCAGGGCTTCGTGCAACGCGACCTCGGCAACCGCGTCGGCCTCAGCCTCACGTGCCACGTCTTCGCGACGCAGGCCGACGGCTCGTGGCACTGCCAGGCGTGCTTCAAGACGGCGCGCACGGAGAGGTCCAAGCAGGAGCTCTTCAGGGCCCCCTGCAAGCCCAAGGCGGTGGCCTCAGGGGCCAAGCGGGCCCCCGCTTCCAGCGCCGCTGCGGGAGTCGCATTGGCGGCCGCCGCCATCACGGCTGCCGCTGCTGGAGGGCACGGAGTTGGTGGCAGCGCCGAGGGCGACGGCGGCGACACCAGCCGCGCCGCCGCCGCGAGCGGCCCCGCCCGCCGAGCGCCTCGCAGGCCTCGTGGGCCGGACGCGGGCTCCAGTGAGAGGCCCGCCGCCGCCGAGAGCCAGCCTTCGAGTGCCGCTGACCTCCTCCTGGCTGCGTGGAGGGAGCGCAGGGCGAGCTCTTCTCGCGCTGGCGCCGTCGGAGGCAGCGGCGACAGGTCGCGGTCTCCTCCTGTGCGTGCCGAGCCCGGCGGAGCCCGCGCGCTCTTGGCACCCGCCGATGTACCTGCCGAGGGTGCGGCTCCCGCTGTGCCCTCCGCTCCTGCCACTGCGCGCGACGAGCTCGGGCATGTGCTGCAGCGGTGCCACGGTTACGTCGTGTGCAATCGGTGCAATGCGTACGCGCGCGAGCGCCTTGGCTCCTTCAAGGCGCTCTCAAGCCTATGCACCCCAGACGAGGGTGATGCAGGTCGCATCCGCCGCCTCAGAGGCGATAGAATTCGCCGAGGTGTGCACCCGACCAGCGGTGCGCGCCTCCCTGACGCTGCAGCTGGAGAGGTGGCTGGCCTCTCGAGCTCGGTGGCCTCAACGCAGGCCACCTAGCTTCGCCGTGGTGCCGTGCCTTCGGTCTTTCACCGAGCGGAGGTCGTGCCGCCCGAGGGGGCGAGAGGCACCACACAGACGGGGGGGGCTGACTCCTGGAGCCTCCCCGCTTGCCCGCCGCGCAGGCGAACAAAGAAAAGGCGTTGCGGTGCACGCAGGCATTGTGGTGTACACAGGCGCTGTGTTGCAAACGGCTGCTGCGGTGTACGCAGTCGCTGTGGTGTACACAAGCGCTGTGGTGCACGCAGGCACCGTGGTGTCCACAGGCGCTGCGTTGCACACGGCTGTTGCGGTGTACGCAGACGCTGTGGTGTACACGCGCGCTGTGGTGCACGCGATCACTGCGGTGTGCAGAGGCGCTGTGGTGCAGATTGCAGATCGCCACCTACATGCTGCTCTTACGTGGCTTCGGTCCTTCCAAGGCATTCCCGGACGCCGCCGGCGCGGGACGTGACGTCACTTGGGGGGGGGGGGTCGGGGCTGGTGACGGCCGCCATCGTGGAAAACAATTATTCTTGTCCTCTTCCTCCTCCTCCTCCTCCTTCCACCTCCTCCTTCCTCTTCCTCCCTCCTCCCTCCGCCTCCCTCTTCCATCCTCCTCCCTCCTCCCTCCTCTCTCCTCCCTCCTCGCCGTCGTCGTCGACGTCCCCCGAAAGGTGCGGCGTGCCGCCGAAGTGGCCGTCGCGGGTGAAGGTGACGCTGATGAGCCTAGGCGCGGGCGCGCTCGTCCTTTTCCCGCCATGCGACCGCGGTGCGCGGCAGCGTCCTACTCGATGCAGATGTGGAAAAGTATCGATGCCGCTGCCCCCGGGAGGCTCTCGCCGCCGCTGGATTCGCCCCGGTGTCCAGGTCAGAGCACACCCCAAGAGAGGTCCGGCGAGCAGTGGTAATCCCCCGCCTCCTCTCGCCGTCAGAGGTTCACTGGGACAGTCAGCGGGCCCCAGGACTTTCAAGAAACGGCTCGGGGAGAAAATCTGGTCCCAGGGATGGGGACCAGACCTCCAGGGCCCACGTTGCGAAAAACGGCGACGTCGGAGTTCTGGGATGGGCGACGGCCCCACCGCCGATCTCGTAGGCAATCCTCGAGCAATTTCTTGCAATGGCCATCGGCATGGAACTTTGGAGACTGGGAGGCCGGGACACCACCACGTCTACCCTACGACGAGACACCACCACCTTCGCGGCCGCCATCACGACGGGAGGGTGTCACCAGAATGGGTCGTCCCCTGGGTTGGGGTTGGGAGTTCGTTTGAGGAAAACTTCCAACAAAGTCCATATCGCCCCTTCCTCCTTGATCAGGTATGGTTAACTTTTTTCTCCTCCCCATGAGCTGCGGTGATCGGAAGAGTCTCAGTCAATGGTCTGCCGGCTCCAACTGGCCCGCCCAAATTGAGCCGAGTTGCCTGCGAAGCAAGTCGGCCCTGAGATGTATTTCAGGGGCCCTCCCGGGGCTCCAGGATCGTATGAAGAACTAATCAGGGCGAATAGTTTGTCCTGGCTGGCGTCAAGTTCCGCCGCAAATGACCCGGCTCCGTGAGGATCCGTCTGTTTTTATGCCGAAGCAGGTCTGCATGGTTTTCCGCCCGTCGTTTCTCCCTTTTTTCCATGTCGCACGCATGTGGGTTTTCAGGTTTCGGTCTTATTATTATTAGTATCATTGTATTATCTTTCGGCGACTTATGATTATTCTTGTTTGTATTATTACTTTTATTCGCATTATTTTTGTTCATGGTTAATAATACTAGTTGCAGCATCATATTTTCATTACTTTTATTGCTCTTCTTAGTATCGTGATTATTGAGTTTCTTGTTCTTCCTCCTCCTCCTCCTCCTCCTCGTCCTCTCTCGTCCTCCTCCTCGTCAGCCTCATCCTCCTCCTTTTTCTTCTCCTCATCCTCCGTTGCCATCTTGGCTCAAGATGCTAGTTTCCCCTGGGACCGACGTGGATACCGCTAGTCCGCGGCTAGTCTTCGTCTCTCCGCCGTATTCGCCTGCGGTGTGGAGTGCTGCACCAGTGTGTAGCACCGTGCGCGCGGCATGGGACCTGCTCGTCATGAGATTGGCACCCTTTGCAAGGAGAAGAAGGACAAGAAAGACGGAAAGGAGAAGAAGAAGGAGAAACGACGGGATCGATCCGAATCTTGGTCCCCTCGCAGGTCTCACCGCTCTTCTGCATCGGATGCTGTGGCTGCTACTCCCACCTCTGCTCGGAGGAATGGTGATGCTGGAAAATGGCGGCAGCGAGATGCAGGTCACGGCGCCTGTTCGTATGCAGCTGGCAGCTCCCTCGGCAACGGTACCGTTTCTGTGGCCACGGACGAGATGCTGCAGGAGCTGGAGGTGGCGCCCACCTTCCCGTCGCAGGAGCGCTTGCAAGGCGGAGGTTCCACAGGAACGCCACTGCCACCGACCCCTCCCGCTCAAGATCCATGGGCTACAGGGGCGCTAGGAGCGCAGATGGCGAATATCAAAGCGCAGGCGCTCGAAGAGTTCTCCACAATGGCGATCGAGACGCTCGCCAGAGAGCTCCCAGCAGCGTTGGGAGAAGCGGTTGGACCATAATTTGAGAAGCTGGAGAAGAAGTGGGAGGACTCCTTCAAGCGCCCCCAGAAGCAGATCAGCGACCAGGCTGCGAGGATTGCTGGGGTTGAAGGTCACGCTCAATCGCTGGAGGCAAGGTTGGCGCACCTGGAGAAGGAGCTGGACCTGGCCATGACTCGCCCCAAGGAGGCACCAGTGGCGAGCAACGATTGGGACAGAGCGGTCGGTTACTCGATTCTCATCGCGCGCTCGCCCGACCAGGTCCCGAAAGCGAAGGTTCTTGAGGTGCTGTCTGAATGGCTCCAGGCTGCTAATTACACTATTGGGCAGGAAGTCGAGATCCTTGGCGGTGGTATCGGGAAGCAGTTCATCATTTCCTTCTCGGGCCCTCTTCCTGCGACAAGAGAATCAAGGAGGAGACAGGCCCAGAGTGCTCTCAGGCTCGCGAGTGGCAGGTGGCGCGACTTCTCCATTGTGGTCGTTTCGCCCTCGTTCCCGCTCTTTATCTCAGTTAGTGGCATGGGCATCAGGACGTTCATCGATCGCGAGGGCGGTCAGTTGCTATCGAAGTGGGAACCGCTGGCGAAGATTACACCGAATGCTGCGACGAGGGTTCCAAAGGTGGAATGGAACCAAGCTGCGCTGGGAGATTTGGGATTACCGCATGGGGTTGTCATGGACCGTGCAAGGAAGACGTTCGTGGTGCGAGATGCTTAATGGCGTGGGTAACAGCTTCCTTGGTTCTACTACGGTCAGATACTCGAGTTGGAAGGCAATGCGTCGTCACTGATTCACTTTAAGCCGAAGCTGGTCTCGAAGCGGACAGCTCTGCTGGGAAGGCCAGCGCACATGGATTCTATTGTGGCGGTGCAGAAAATTCATGGCGATGAAGATGCTGTGCTCGAACTCATTCGACGGATGAGAATGTCCCATCGTCCTTGTCAATCCCATAGTGGACGTATGGGTGCTGATGGACTTCTTACGCTTGTCCCATGGCATGAGCGTCTTGATGTTTCAGACCCTGTCGCGTTGGCACCTGGACGGGTCATGTTTTTAACACTTATAGGTTCTCTTCGCGGTGCTTTTCTATACCGCTGGAATGTCCATAACCGCGGTCTGGATTGCAGTACTACTGGTAGAGTGCATGATACTCTCGCGCTGCAGCTCGAGGAGGTTAAGTCGTCTCCTAGGCTCTGCTCGGCGACCTGAGTTGGTGGTTTCTATATCCCAGATGCAATGGGCGAGCGCGCTACTGCGTTCAGCAGGTCAGTTACAGATGAGGTGAGGAGCTCAGATGCTGCTCTTCGCCAAGCTGGCTCGGCTCGCGCGCGTGCCTCTTCATGTCGCGCAGGCAAGGCCGGTGACGGGATCTGGGGGAACATCTTCCGCAGCATGACAGAGTTTGCCCTCGAGCAGCCGACGCACTGGCACGATGACGCCCAGTCTGTTGGCAACGTTGATCGTTGCTTTACGGGCTCGCCACCATGGGTCTGGCGCCAAACGCACCAGCACTGCGCGGTCGGAGGTGAAGTGGAAGAGTCCGCCAAGCAGGGATTATCGGATCATGTACCTATCTCGGTAACGTGGGACCCTTGTTGGGTTGCATCTTCGACTAGAGCTCGACCACTACCAAAATTTATCTACGAGGATAGGATGCATGAGCAGGTGGTGAGAGAGCTGGAGGTGGTGGTGAAGATTGAAAAGATGCTCGAATATGCCCCGAGGGCGCTGGAGGCTGCTGCGAAACTTCGCCCACGCGCTGGTGCCACAGTCAGAGAAGCGATTCTAAGGGTTTTGCCATTCTCGCTGCACTCTCGTGCTATGGCGTCGAGATCTCTTGCCCGTGCCATCTGGAGAGGTGATGAGAGTCTGTTGCGGGTCTTTCGGTATCATCACCCTTGGACGCAGAGTGCAACGTGCTTCGTCAACGGTGTGCCCCAGTTTTCGGACCCCGGTAAGTTTCGTGGTTTGCGCGCCCATCTTCAGCGACAGGAAGCCGCGCAGCGAAAGCGTTCCCTCGAGGCTGATGTAGATCGTGAGAGAGCGCCAGGTCGTCGATCTCGTCTTGTGGCGACGAAGCGCTCGCTGGCCAGTCGATCCCAGCTCTGGAACCCCATGTCTAGGGGGAAATTCCTCTCGGGGCTCATTGATGAGGGCGGCGGAGGTGATGGGGTGAAGCATGGTGGACCTCAGGAGGATGGAGGAGCTGAGGAGGCATTAGCGGCTGAACTGGCTAGATGTTGGGCTCCTGTCTGCTCGAAGGTCCCAGAGTTTCCCCATGGAGGTGATCAGAATCGTAGGGGGTTCTCTAGCAGGCTCGATTTCACGGGCATACGGGCTGCTAGTTGCACTATTGGGCAGGAGGTCGAGATCCTTGGCGGTGGTATCGGGAAGCAGTTCACCATTTCCTTCTCGGGCCCTCTTCCTGCGACAAGAGAATCAAGGGGAAGACAGGCCCAGAGTGCTCTCAGGCTCGCGAATGGCAGGTGGCGCGACTTCTCCATTGTGGTCGTTTCGCCCTCGTCCCCGCTCTTTACCTCAGTTAGTGGCATGGGCATCAGGACGTTCATCGATCGCGAGGGCGGCCAGTTGCTATCGAAGTGGGAGCCGCTGGCGAAGATCACACCGAATGCTGCGACGAGGGTTCCAAAGGTGGAATGGGATCAAGCTGCGCTGGAAGATTTGGGGTTACCGCATGGGGCTGTCACGGACCGTGCAAGGAAGACGTTCATGGTGCGAGATGCTTAATGGCGTGGGATAGCAGCTTCCTTGGTTCTACTACGGTCAGATACGCGGGTTGGACGGCAATGCGTCGTCACTGATTCACTTTGAGCCGAAGCTTGTCTCGAAGCGGACAGCTCTGCTGGGAAGGCTAGCGCACATGGATTCTATTGTGGCGGTGCAGACAATTCATGGCGATGAAAATGCTGTACTCGAACTCATTCGACGGATGAGAATGTCCCATCGTCCTTGTCAATCCCATGGTGGACGTATGGGTGCGGATGGACTTCTTGCGCTTGTCCCATGGCATGAGAGTCTTGATGTTTCAGACCCTGTCGCGTTGGCACCTGGACGGGTCATGTTTTTAAGAATTATATGTTCTCTTCGCGGTGCTTTTCTATACCGCTGGAATGTCCATAACCGCCGTCTGGATTGCAGTACTATTGGTAGA